TCCTCATATTTTTGTAATGCTTTATAATGTAAAATATATTTAGTTTTGTCATTTAAATTTGGTATTAATTTGCCATTCATTTTCTCAGGTGCTAATGGATAGTCATTATGTAAATCATGTAAGCTTTTATCATATTTTAAATCAACTTCTAAAATGTATCCAAACTCATCATTTTGATTGTATTTGTAGTCTATCTCATTAGTCCAACGGAATCCATCCACAGGCAGTGGCTCGCACATTGCTGTAGAGTATAGTGAGTTACAGTCTAAATATATTAAATACACACTCTCTTGATTGGGGTCATAGTGTTCACCCATATATCTATTATTGGCTTTAGCGTAACGTGTGGAAATCATACTGACTCCTCCTCTAATCGCACTTTCTATGAACAAATGCATGTCAATATCTTGAAATAGTTGTAATTTTATACCATTCATTCTAAGACAGGCCTCCCATGTTAATCCAGGAAGTGAATACATATGTACGGGGTCCAGTTTGTAATCCTTTAAACACAGGTCTCTAAATGTCTCAAACACATCAGCCAGTAGCAATACATCTGTTTTAAGATATAAATCATGATATTCTTGTAAATTATTTATATTAAAATGGGTCCAGACATTTTTAGCATGTTCGTATTCGTTGGAAGAGATATGTTCTTTAGTTAAAGTACTGTAAAATTTTTCAATTGGAGGTAGAGACTCTGCGAACTTATCTGGTCCCGTCATATATTCATATGGAAATACGCCTTTACGTTGTAGTAGTGGATTTTCTATGAATCTAAATGTATTTAAATTGGAAGCTAATTTGTATAATGGAAGGGACAGAAAGTTATAGGAATCTAAAAATATCAACAGAGAATGATATATATTTTTCCATATCTTTAGCTATACAATTTAATTTATGTTTATTAAACTTTCCCAAGTGTTGCATTATTAAATGTCCATCGTAATTTTTCAAGTTATGGAAGAATATTGGGATTTTCTTTGTTACTTTATAGTTTAAATTACAATCATTGTGGGCAGCTCCACGGTATTGCCCAGAGGAATGGCAATGATCTCTCACCCTATCAAAATATAGGGGCTTTTCACAAATGTGACAGTGTGTTGAGTTTTGGAAAGATACCTCTTGCTCAGGAGTCATAACTAGGGGAATGTATATTGCCATTTGATTTTTAATATAATCATAAGTCTCAAATAGCCTTTCGAAAAACACATCCATAACATTTATACCACTGTACAACTCTTCAGAAATAATTTTTGAATCTTTTACTACGACAAATGCAAAACCCGATGGAATATGTATATTGGAGTTTATAAAGCATTCAAAATCAGCATAAATTATATATGGAGCTTTAATTTGATATTTATAATTTTTAAATTGTAATATATCTTGTTTAGACATTTCCACTCTTTGCGCATCAAAATTCTTACAATATGTTATATGACGTTCTAATTTATCATTGGTGTAAAAATGTTGCAAACACAGCTTGCAAAAATGCTTCTTATTGTTATCTTTTGTACAATGGAACATTAACTTATCAAAATCACGAATTAAACAATAATGTGATTTACGACCTTCTTGTAATAATAATAAATCTACATGGGTATTACTATTCAGTTTGGTTGTTCTTAATGGATATACACATTTCTGGTCTTCAACTCCAAATACATTAACACTTATATTATTTTGTGTTTCAAATTTATCAATATCAGATATTTTTACGGGATATTTTATATTTGTCATATTTAACTGACTTTCATAGGGTACATAATTAGAGACTCTATTAGCATTTTCATTGATACAATTCCTTGGATATAAAGCTGCTAATATCGACCAAAGGAAACATTTATTGTCAAAATTTCTTATATTTAGAACGGCATGTTTTGATTGAATACTCTCTGGTGTGGGGATATATGACTTTGGAGTTAGGGGTTTATACTTGTAAACATGCAGCTGCCAATACTTAGTATGGTCATATATCCAACCACTGCCTTGGGCTTGATATTTGTGAATGGATGCATCAATCTTTAAAAGTGCATTTTTAATTTGAGGCTTTAAATCTCTTTTCTCAATAATTAAGGTAGTAAGACTTCTAAAATCCGCTATACATTCTTTTTCATTAACTAATTTTCCATTTTTATCCATTGAATATTTTATAAATTTAATTCTCCTAACTAAAGTCCATTTTATTGGCAGAGGACAAGACTTGAGAGCATTTTCAAGTTCAGCTCTAATTGATTCACCAACAAATTTTATCATTGTGTATGGACAATTGTTGCAAGAATTGATATGTCTTCTAAAATGGCCAACAACATTTTTCTTACAAAAATTACAAGTCTTGTGACTTTGTAATATATGTGATTTTAAAGCCACATTATTATCACAGATTAAATCACAAACCTTGCACAGTTTCACATTCATTTGATGAATTACCTTGTAGTGGCGAATCAGGTTACTTTTGGTGGAGAGCGACACGGAGCAGTGTTGACATGACGGCTTCATGTTTAGGAATGAGGACTTGGGCTGATGTCACCTCTATTTATAGATTTTCCGAAAATTTCAAAAATTTTAACCAGAAATTGTGAAATTTTCAAAAATTTTTAACCAGGAATTGTGAAATTTTCAAATTTTTTGCTAGAAATTAAAAATTTTCAAACAATTTAATTAGAAATTACTTCAACGGGAGGTCACCCACTCAAGACTTAATCAGTATTTGCCACTAGAGACGAGAAGACTGACCATGAGTCAGGAGCAAGAAGCCTGACCATAGGTCAGGAGCGCGCCATGAGCCGAGTTCGCGTACAAACCTCGCACTGTCAAGTTGATGATTTTGAGAATATACATGTGAATGGATGTGGATTTGAAATAGTAATGAAGTTATACAATGGTATTGAACATTTATATAGGCTTGTATTGGTCGAGAGCTGGATTTTTAAAAAAGTGGTCAAAAAAAGCTCACCATGTTATTCTTATGGGGAAAACGTGCCTAAAGTGATGTCATATTGCTAGTTCGCCTCTACTCTACATTTACACTTGTAAGGGTCAATAAATATAAGAAATAGCTTTTTTAGCTTAATATCGAATATATTTATGGGGAATAAGTAAGAAATAAGGTTTGACAATTTTATAGGGATATTTAGGCAAAAGATCAGGATTTTTGGTTTTAGTGGCCAAAAAATGATCCCATGTTATTTCTTATGGGAAAACGTGCCCCAAGTGACTTTAAACCCGTATATTATATCTACTCCTTATAACTTTAGAACGGATCAATATTAAAAAAAAAAAAACTATTTGCGGCATTGTAATCAGCGTAAAATATTCTTGTTTGGATTAATGGGTTACAATCCTACCTTTACATTTGAAAAAAAAACTTTATATCCAATATGGCGGATCCATATTGGATACAAAGTTTTTTTAGTGCTAGATAAAGATAAGTATACACCACCATTCATTGTTGACTTATTTTCACTTGGTTATGACGGGTGTAATTTTTTCGGCCGCCATCTTGGATCCACCATTTTGAAATGTGATCAATAAGTTTAAATATGAAGGTGGTGTTGTGACCCATTATTTTCAACTGATTTTTTATGCTGAATTCACACATCACCGCAATCCGTTTATCAAGCTTTCTTGATGAAATATTAATATTATCTTTTTTAAAATTTTAATAATTCCAAAACCAAATATGCAAATGAAAAACTGTTTGCGGCATTGAGTTCAGCATACAAAAGTAGTTCAAAATGATGGGTCACAACACCACCTTCATATTTAAATTAATTTGTCACATTTCAAAATGGCGGATCCAAGATGGTGGCCGAAAAAATTACACCCGTCATAACCAGGTGAAAATAGGTTGACAATGAATGGTGGTGTGCACTATTTTAAGATTATGGTCTTAGTTTGAAATGCACAATGTTAAAATGGGCTAAAAATTAAGTTATAAAAAGTCCTTATAACTTTAGAACGGATCAATATTTTTTAAAACTATTTGCAGCATTGTAATCAGCGTAAAATTCTAGTTTGGAATATTTGGTCACACCCCTACCTTTACATTTGAAAAACAACTTTGAATCCAATATGGCGGATCCAAGATGGCGGCCAAAAATTTATACCCAGTCAAAATGAAGTACTTACGACTTTACAATGATCTGACGTGGTCCGAAGTTGGTATCTTAAGAAATGTAGAAAAAAGTAGGGGGGGAACTCATTTAAAACTCACCTTGTATAATTACTTCATTTAGTTTATACGGGGTATTCAAAAAATCTGAAAATAATGTATGTAGAGATTCTTTGGGTCGATAATATGAACATATTAATGCAGAATTTCAACACTGTAGCTCAAATCGTTGAATATTTATGAATGTTTAAAACAACTCATATAGACATAAGCTAAATGGAACATGATAAAACATATGTTTACATGAACATCTTTGCTTATTTTGCCCCAAAGGAACAATTTCGTAAATTACATCTATATCTGCTATGAACACCCTGTATTTAGGGCAAAACTTTAAGTGAGAGGAGGGATTTAATACTAACAATTTAATGAAATATCTATATCAGAATCAGCATGGTACAAGTGGCAGGAGAAAACACATGTTCCACATTAAAATTCAGTTTTTGTCATTTCGGGGTCACGTAATATATGAGTCAGCATAAAATTATATGTTTATTTGTTGTTTTTTCGTGAAAGATTGTGCCACTACTTTCTAATGGTAAGAACTATTTTCAGATATAAAAGTAGTGGGTTATTCAAATCTATCTGTGCAACCTTAGACGAACTACGCCATTTTTATTCTTCGTTTTTTACTAAATAATCTTAAATAGAAAACCTATAAATACCATAAATTATGAAAATTCTCATATCGTTTAAATCATGTATTAAGTTTTACTTTTCTTTATACTCTAATTCGCAGAAAACATTTACAGTTCAACGCAAAATTGTTTGGTTGTTTTTTTCTTATTGGTGTGTAACACTTAAAAATCTTAATTTTCTCTAGGTGAACCCCAAATACGTGAAGCAGTATAGACAAGTACCAGAGAGATATCCAGATCTTCAACAGTCCATGAGTATTTTGGAGGTGCCTCTGAAGGCACACCACTTTGTGCCTGGGGGTCGACTGAAGGTGTGATTTAGTTGTTAAAACATCTCTCCTTCTTTGTCACATTTCATATAGAAAAGCGCAAGTAAAGTATTTCGTTACCCACATTAATTTTGCATTGCTTTGATAATTTCAACAGAAAGAGTATCCATACGGAGTAGAATCTTAAGGTAATAGAGCTAAAATACGTTAAAAAAGATAGAAAGTACAACTAAATGAAATGTCATAAAACTCAATACTATTTGAAATTCCTAATTAAAGGATACAAATTCCACGCTAAACTTTAAAGTTACAGTCTTATGTTTTAAAAATTGGTTCGAAAAATGTTGACACTAATGTCAATATAAAATGTATATTATATGAACAACTATAACGGGAGGTTAGGGGTTAAAATGTTTAGTATGTGGAAGCCAGTCTTGGGATAAAATATTAAATGTTATCGATTAAATGTATAAGTAATGGTTAACCTATGCTATGATAAACATTTCACAACATTTCAATGTAATATTTTCTTCAAATCCAAATTTTTGGTTGTGTTGGGATGAATTTAATACATATTGAACTTATTCAGGTAAGGTGTACAGCAAGTTTGTACGATCTTTACTGGCAAACCACGGAGAAGGGAGCAGATGAAGAAGGAAGACCGACAGACAAGATGGCGGCTGATAAGGCTTATAACGAGGTCAAGGCAAACTGGGATGATTATGAGGACGATGAATATGGTGATCAAAACAACTTCATTATAGGAGGTGGGTTTAATAATTTACGATACTTAACCCATTTACTACGCAGTTATTATTGATAATTACGCAGCAATTGCTATCTTACTGTTTTCCATTCAACTATTTTAGAATAATTATAATAGCCAATAAAATTATATTATGACAATAAAATTAGCCATAATAGCTATCAAAATACATTTGTCTTCATAGGTTAATATTTTTATTGTTGCTTAAGGCTGTTTATTGTTAACTAATTCTAGTATACAATATATTTATATAGCTATAAATATATTTATTAATATATTTATTAAGAGCTCCTGATACGTATTTAAGTATAGATGTACACATTATTTATAAACAGTGTGCACATGGTTTTGACCAATGGACAGTAACCAAAACATATTTCCAGCTGGTAAGAGCTCTTCCCTCGAGCACGGACTTGCAGTCCATTCTATTCTTACCCTAATAATGTATTCGTGTATTTATTAAGATGAATAAAGTGATTTTTTGATTTGATTAGATTTGATTATTTGAATGGTTCTTACATATTTGGCGTTTACTCTCATATATATATTGGACTGCATTAGAGTTGCATGTATAATTTGAAAGGTAACTCTTAAGCAACAGGAATAATTTAATGCTACTGTATGCTTTAACTATAGAAAAAATCAGTGATAGGGAATGGAACACAAATCAAAATGTCAATCTTGAAAGTATTATAGGTAAATTAAAAGATGTAAGATCTCAAAGAGTCATTGCTTTTAAGAAAGCATCCTTAGTTTGAGTATAAAACGCAATGACTACGAATTAATGCAGGATGGTTCATGAAAGTATACTTTTAATGGAAATTTACCTGTATTATTTTGAGTTCCCATTATTATTGAGATAAAAGTATGCCAGTTGTGTTGACAAATTTCTATGGAACAAGAAAAATATAATTAAATATAGACCGACTGTAGTGCTACGGTTAGCATAAGTTCTGGCATCCACCACTAGGAGCGCGGTGTAGTTACGTAGGGCGTGCCATAATAACACGGTACTCACAGCGGTGGACACCAGAACTTGTGCTAACCGCAGCAATGCTGTCGGCTTATGTATTTCATTATATTTTTCTATGCTATCACTATTTGATAGAGTATCAATACTACTGTTTGAGGAAATTTTTTAAGAATCTGTAGTCAGTTAACTGCACTGTTTAATTATTTCTTACTTTTCAGCATTTCCAACACCGCCAAGTGACAATGATCTCAGAAACTCTGCTCCTTTTGTGTCTTCCACTTTTGTCTTGATTGCCATTGCATTGCTGCGGTTATAAGTCTACAATTTTAGAATTCAACATAAAGAATCCTTCTTCATTTTATGCAAAATCGCTTGAATGCAGCTAACGTAGAATCTATCGAATGGAAAATAAATTGTGGTGTAAAGCACTCAAGCGAATTGCTTTTGGTTTCTAACATAACATTACAGCAATAAACTGATAATTGAAATCATTAATGCTTAAATATTTTAGTACTCGGGTACATTGAACGCAAAACTAGTGATGAAATAAAAATTGCTAAGTAAGTGCATTATAAAGTGAATAAAGATGTAAAGATGCTTTTGTACTCAAATCTTAAAACCGAATGTACATTCTAGTTATTAAAGTATATTTTTAATACTCATGTAAAAATACGATCTTTAGTTGTATACCCTTTAAAATACCAAATAGAGCCTTTTACATTTTTTTACAATATTCTTCCAAAAAAAGATTAATTTCCTAATTAAGACAAATTATTAAATAAAGAAAAATTATTTTCTTTATTTTTAAATTACGATTTTGACTTTATTGAAAGCAATAATCAGTTAATAATGTAATAATTATTTACATTATATATTCGTACACTTCTTTACCCGTTGAATGGGAATAATAACCTAATACCTGAAAAGTCTTCCTACATTGTTCATACATATCTAGACTATGTCATCCTGTAGTTCACATTCACAAAAAGAAGAATACCTATCATGATTCATTACATAAATATATATTTTTTAGATACTCGCATAGAATATGAGGCAGAAAGTATTACCTAAATAAATTTATATTTTGAAAACAGATTAAATTTATATTTTCAAGACGAAATTAAATTTTCATACATATTTTTCCTTTCTTTTCTTATACAAAAACTAAATTACAAGTGTTTAATTTCCTGTATATATGTAAATGGCTCAGTAATTTCTTTAATGACGAGTTGAGGAATTGTAAAAATAAAAGATTGTATAAAATAAAAGTTAGTGGCCAAATTGTCGTTGACGCTTAACATATCTGTGGTGTTAGCAGATGTAGATTTTGTAACTGGCAGTTAGATTAGTGTTGTTTGAAATTTCAAACGAAAGGTTGTGGTTACCTTCATTGTAACTGTGTTGAGCGGAATAAAGTGTCTTGATATGACTTTTTTTGCCTCTGATTTCTCCTAACTTTGGGTAGTTTTAAAAGATTTTTTTAACAAAACTTTACAATTGAGTAGACATACAACCAGTACTTAGTAGTACTGGTAATGTACAAGTAAGTTTTGTGTAAAACGTGGATTTTGTGCAAATGTCCTAAGAAGGTTGATGACTAAGATCCTAAGATCCTAAGATGGTTGAGCTATATGGTATATTTATCACAAATTCAGAATAGCAGGATTTTAACAGTTCTTAAATCATCATTTACAATCGATACTATTTAGAAGCCTTAGTAGCTTTTTACTGTGGCCCTTGCATTTAGGCATTTACTAAATTAACACAAAATATGTTTATAAACTCTTGTTTTAATAAAAGTTCATAAAATAAAAAATCTAAAAATGTATTTCAGTTTGTATGAGCTATGCCCCTAGTGCTTTAAAAGCAACACCTGCAGGTATTGGCTGTTAGTTCTATAGACATTTTATGTAAATCGTGTAAACAAAAACAATATCAATTCTATCCTGTGATTCTGAAATTACTTGAAGTTATAGGTATAAACCAACTGTTAAAAACTATGTATTTTTAACAAGGTTGGAATGGAAATTATTATAAAGGAATAAAAGTGTTCTAGATCAATTGTTCGTGATGTTTCATAATGACATCCTAACCATTGTACATAGTGGAATTGAAAATTGTGTAACTACTAAAATTACAACTGTAATATATTTATTTAATTAAATTGTAATAGTCTACATAAGTACAAATTGATAAGTACGCTAGACAAATCTAGTGTTTGAACTTAAAGTATATTAAAAATTGCAACCTACTACAACGAAAAACATTTTAGTTATTACGTTTAAGAACTAACTTGATTTTTATCAACAATATTGTTTCCAAATTTATAATGTAAAATTAACACAGTACAGCCAGTGTATGTGAATAAAGTATTCATTTTAATTTTCTAAGGAATTTATTATTGATTATGCAGTTGTTTATTTTAAAACATGTTAAATAAATGCAAATCGTATCAAAACATTTAAATACTTTTTATATTTATAAACACTGACAACAAACCATTGCCATTAAAATAAAATTCAAACGATGATTTCTATTTGAAGAGAAGAAGGTTGTTTTCCTGAGACGACAAAAAGAAAGCTTTGTCCTCCTTAAACTTCCAGCAGTAAAGAAATTCTTTCAGTTTACTTTTCTGATCTACTTATTTATTGTTTGGTATAATAAAAAATGTCTGAAAACATCCTTTGAAAAGAGATTTCGTATTTTAATTTATAATTATGAAACTGTTAGTTATTAAATTTGAAAAATATTATTACAAATATTTTGTTGCTTATAATATTTAAACCTAATTACTTTAAACATAGTTTTAATGTTATATAGAACAAAATTTTGGATAGCCCTAAAGTAAAGCAGGAGTTATTGGAAAGTATTGGCTCCCCGTTTCAAATATCCATTAAACATAGGTAAAATAGTTTTTTGTTGCATAATTATATTAACACTTACTTTTTATCACCTCACAAAGTCTTTTTCCTTAATTGTTACGGAATATAAAATTTTTAAACAATTTCTTAGTTACATTAATGATGAATTTTGTAATGTAACGCTTTAATAAATAAGTTTTATTATTGCTTATTTAGATACTACTTGTATCCAAATATACAAAAGAATTCAATCTTTCAATGATTCTAACAGAGACAATGTATTATTTTAAAACCATTTTATGATACAAGTGCTTATAGCTGTGTGTGTAGATCCCAGTTTTATAGCTGTTCTGTAAAGTACAAGAACCATATATGAAACAACAAGAAGAAACTACACAAAGTGGTTACTTCACTAAAGGTAAGGATGCCGACGTTGAAGTGTCTAACGGCAGGTTTCACTCACGGCTCTTCTAAATTATGCACAAGGTTATTGCCTCGTGTGTAGAGCACAAGAATAGTGTATCCTTTCCGTCGATAGTTCTGCTTTATTTACTAAAACGTTTTCTGATTGTTTCCTTTGTTTGGAAATGCACTCCAATTTAATGTGTTAGTACGTTTTATGCCATTTATTTAAGTTTTTGGGGACAATACAAACGTTTTGTTATTTTCTAAAGTTACTTACTTGCTCTTACTGCCAGGGCCACGCACAGTCGCACATCTATGGCCATATTTTACTAGACCAACAACACACTACCATCCTTCTAGATCTTCTGCAGATTCCTCTGTTGCTTATATCCGCTCAATTTATCCCTTCATTTGTTTCCACAATGTTGTGCCGCCCCTGTTAGTCTTATTCATTCAGGGTTCTTCATTATAACTAGTTTATTATAGTTAAATAATAATAGATGAAAATTAGAATTATCTTCCTCTCTTTGTAAAACAAGCCAAGTCCATCTAACACTCGAAATATTCACAAATTACACCAGGATCTTTATGTAATTCCATTAAATGTTATGCTCGAAAGAAATTTAATTAAAAACAGTTAGCATCATAAAATGCTACCTAGTGCACCCAAAAAACATCTGGGTCTAGAGTTATCCTTTATTGTAGTTAAACCAGCAACATTTCAGCTTAGAAACACCTTTACGTTGCAGTTGACGCAAACGGGTCGCCGGAAGACTGTCCCCCGGAAAGCTACCCCCCCCCCCAAGCAGGTTCCTGCGTCATATTGACGTCAGAGACCGGGGGTGGCAGTTTTCCAGTCACGGACACTCAAATTTAGTTGTCAAACAGTTCTAATCTAACCCTAACCTAACCAACCAAACTTGCTGTAACATTTCGAAAATCTGTTTTAAATTCACCTTTTCTATTATCCAACGGAATTACTCGAATTAAAATTACATAGCATGATTTGTCAAGGGGGGGGGGTAGTATTCCAGTCGCGGACACGGCTTCCATATTGGTTAGTTAGCAGATTTTGTGATGTCACGTTTCACCTGGGGGTGGTAGTTTTCCGGGGGATAGTATTCCGCATCCCCACGCAAACCTATCCAATTCATTGTAAAATATAAGATTAAATAAATTTCAACAATTTAACGTACTCTAAAACGAAAAAAAATATGTTTACTAGGTTTTACTATTGAATTAAACTATAACTGATATCCTAATGCTGCTAAACTGTAATCAAACCAATTTTGGAAGTAAAACTACATTGATTAAATACTTATTGTGTTCAGAAATGTATATGGTCACACAAGAGTCAAGTATTGTCTAAACCTCAGAGGCTCGTCTGTGTTTCACACCGTAAGATCAAAGCAGACCCAGTCAAACAGTGTCTGTTGTAAAGGCCTGACTTGTTCAATAAAGAGATGACCACATCCCTCTACTGCATGTCATTGGACTTGTCTCTTTGATTCAAAAAATGTATTACATTCTACATTTAATGTTTTTGAATATTAGTTTCAATCATGTGAGTCGTTAGAAGTGATTTTAAAGAAAGTAGATTTAACTTTCTCTATCTACTTTTGAATTTTTACCAAAGTTCGAAATGGAACATCAAGATTTCGAGACAACTTACTATCTGGTATCTGATCTCACTTGAGGACGGGATCAGATTTCAGGTTCCGAAACGTTGGGTAAATTTGTTGAAACTTTAACTTTGTTACAGGACAGGAAGATCCTATTTTTTTATAAAATCTCGTAATCACCCGAGATAAGATACCAGATCCTAAAGCGGCGTTAAACACTGTTTATCTAATCATCAAGGAAAAAGTCTTTAATAATTCCTTAAAAACAAAATAGGCCATTATATCCTACCGGTTCGGTTGAAATTTATTTTAAATTCAACGGGTTCCCTAAATAGTTTACATATAACTATTGTCGGGACCACATAAGTTTGCAGTTGAGGGAGGAGCCTATTTACCATATGGTTCTGAATGAACCAATGAGAACGGTGCGGTGTTGCCAAATCTAATAATACCAGCTGATTTGAAAATATTGCTTTTATATTTTAATTAGTGTTGTCAATGGGCGATGTGGCAACGTCGCACTAGCCTTGTCTTGTGATTGGCTGCCACCAACTGCAAACTTACGTGGTCCCGACAATAAGTGTATATGGAATTAAATAACTAAATATACAACTAGTTTATAAAATTGTAAAGGAGATTTTCACGCAACCCAAGTTACAATTACCATCAGACACAAAACCAGCTGATGTGTTGGTATCCCTGTGTTCTTTATTTCATTGCCAATCAGCTGATATGCATTGTTGCCTGGTTATCTATAAGGATTAGTGTTGTTTGGAATTCACTATAAATAAGAATCAACATGGTATTATTTCAAGCTCAAAGGGTATGTATGCCATTGTAGAAGAATACATTAAAAAGAAAATAATTGGTTTTATACCAAGAATTAAAATTAAATTTCCAGGTGTGATTCTAGTACCCCAAACAATTCGTATTGTCAACAATTCAAGGAAACCGAATCTATTGACAAAAAAGTTGACTTACAATACCTACTTTATACCTACTTTCGCTTGTGAAGACTTCATGTTGAGTCTTATTAAATAAACTCACAATAATACTAAACCTAGTAGAAAACTATGCAACAATGCATATCAGACCATTGACAGCAAGTACAGAAGACAGGGATACAAATATATGAGATTTCTTTCATCAAACACATTCGTATAGTACTTTTAGTTTGGGTTGCGTTTAAAAAAAAAACACCTTAAGGCTTCTTGGTAATATAGGCATAAACATTACAGATACTCAACTTAGTTTACATGAAGGCTACTGAACACAACGAATATAGATCGAGTGTTAAAGCGTGGGTAGGTTGATCCCAATTTATATGCAAATACCTAACAAAGGCTTTGTTTTAAAACAAAACTGAGAATAAAAGTTTGGACGTGGACGATGAGGATTGGCAGTAACAATGTAACGTAGGTTCTGTTTCAAACGCAGATATTTCTTTTAATTTTTTTTCTTCAAACACAATAAATAAACTTATTTATACTAGTGTATTTAAAGTTAGAAGTTTTT